GCCATTGGAACAAATTGTTTTCATCTGCCCATTTCACTGGAAGAAGTCTTCACATGCTTGGGGTAGAAAACCCCTAACTCACCAATGAAGCCTATCAGTTATCCTCAACCTGGTTTAGCCTGTCTGCTGAGAGAGTTTTACTGGGGCACGACCACTGACCATGCTACATCTTCTTGGAGCCACAGGTGAGAGGTGGGTGAAAGGTGGACATCAAAGGTGGATGAGCAGCCCTGAAAAGGGCTCAGCAAGCCCTTACACCAGAGGAGTTAGTCCTCCCTGAACACCCCATATACCCTAGTGTTCTTTAAACAGAGGCTAGATGACCATTTTGGTGGTGGTGGTAGGTGGGAGTACTACTAGAAGAGATTCTTCATCTGGTATGAGTTAGACTAGATGGCCTTAGGGATTTCTTTTCAATCTCATCTTCCGTGAAGCTGCAGAGAAACAGATGCTTCTGACGGAAGTAATGAAAAATGTTTTAATAATTAAAACTGACGAAGTAGAATGGGTTCAAGAGGTTGTTCCCCTTCATTAGAGACCTTCAAATGGACTCTAGATGGACTCCTCTTGAGGGTTTTGTTCAAGGGATTTCTGTCCAGGTATCAGTTAGACTGGATGTGCACAAGTTTTTCCATTCCAATTAATACATGTTTTTGAGACATTAAATATTTAATTTCTTACCTAATAGATGGCAATGTGGCATATAGTACAAAGAGTCAGAAAGTCCTAGGTCTACCATTTGTTAACTGTTATGATCTTGCATCAGTCACTAGGGCTCTCCCAGGCTCAATTTCTTTATCTGTAAGATGTAAGTGATCACTACTACACAGTCTTCTTCACCAATTGTTAGGAGAATGCTCTGTGCTAATGATCTATGAAAGTCCTATCCAAATGGAAATGATCTTATTTGTTTTCTTACTGAACCTAATCTTATCTTATTATCCTGCTGGATTCCTTGTGGGGAAGGGGCAGTGACAATTACATCTCTCAATGAATTGCTGAAGGATACGAATCTGGTAGGAAAGGAGCAGCAGGAAAACATGGATGGGCAATTTCTCTCTGCAATTTCTTTAATTAATAGGACTAATGCATGCCAAAGATACAGGGAGTGTGTTTGGGGTGCTTGTTTACTAGCTGATTCTTAGGTCATAGTGGTGTTTATGGCCTCTTCTCTATGATGTAATCTTTACCACATGACCCATGCCTTTGTTAACCTCAGATCAGATTGCTATCATTTTCTCTGTTTATTCCTTAAAATTGCTCTGAAAGCACTTCTGGTGATTCCAGTGTTTAAATAAAGAGCAGCTGGAGACTGGATATTTCTAATGAAACATCTTTTGATTTGGACTTTGCTTTTTCTACCAGGAAGGTAAGACATAATTTTAGCTTATTTAAAATCACTGGACAAGATCCATGTTTTCAAAATCGTGTACAGCTGAATTTGTACATGAGAGTGAGCAATACATACTTGTAAAACATAATTCATGGTACCATTTTCTTTTTGATCTATTACAGAAATAGAAGGTACTTTATTTGTTCATTAGGTTAGGGTAAATGAAGTGACTTGCTGGCTACCCACAAATCAGTAATTAAGTAGCTAGAATATCATTCTTATACTTAGTTGGAACAGAAATTGTCCCAAACAATGGAAATTCAGACTCTTTTCAGTCCTTAGTGATTTATGTAACATACACTGTATGTGGTTATATAATACACATACACACACGTGCACATAGACACATATACATGTATATACATACACACGTGTATGTATATGTATGTGTGTATACATATATGCAGAAACATTAACAAATAAATTCATAATTAGGTAGTAATCTTAATAGCAATTTGTTAAAAGTTTCACTTAAGGCTCTGCCTCTCTCTTCCACAACAACACTGTAGTCATATGCACGCATATGTACATACTATATATGTGTATATGTATGACTATCCATGTGTGTGACTATAGTATTGTTGTGGGGGGAGGGAGGGGTGAGTCCTTAAGTGAATCTGAATTGACTTGTTAATATTTCTGCTCTAAATGGCCTTGTCCACTTTTACACTCTTAAATTCTTCCCCTTCCCACTCTGTTTTTTTTTCTTTTTTTGAACTGAGCTTCTGCCAAGTGTCACAATCAGACAATCACAGAGAGGAAAAGAGGTCAAGATTGTATTAGGATTTGTCAATTATCCTCCTCTTGGTATCAGACTTCACAGATTGTTCAGCAATATGACAGATTTCATTCAAAATTCTTTTAAAAGTTCTCTCTGTGGTTAGGCTTAGACTGATCAATAAAATATGCTTTTAAAGATCCAATTTCTCATTCATCAGGAATGAGCAAACACAGGGAGGGCAGTAGCTACTGAATACTAGCTATATTCTCAATTATAAATTGTTGTAGAGAACATCGATCCATGACAAATGGCAGCTGGAAATAAGAATGAGGCCTTTATATCTGACTGGGACTACGGTAAGAAGTGGATTATTGTGATATGCTGGGAGGCACTAGGCTGTTCTCATTCTTCCAAAGTCCCTCTTTCCCAAAGTTTCAGATTTGTATTTTTCTATGTTTCCTTAGAAATAAATCCCTCCCCTGTTAGAATGTAAGCCTCTCAAGAGCAAGGACTGATTCATTTTTGTCTTCTTATCCCCAGTGATTAGCACAGTGACAGACACACAATAGATGTTTAAAAACGTTGTCAATTGATGAATTGATTGATTGCCCTGTCACAATAGCTGACACTTATAAAGCACGTGAAAGCTTGCATAATACTCTTTTTGCAATGACCTTGTAAAAAAAGTATTTCAAATATTATTACCCCTATTTAAGAGATGAGAAAACTGGGTCTGAGAGAGGTTAAGTGACTTCTTCATAGTCACACAGTTAATGTGTCAGACCCAAGATTTTATGCCAGTTTTACTAAGTACCACAGCACACTTTTTATTATGCCACACTGCCATTATCAATTATATGAAAAGAAAGTACAAAGTGATTTTTTTTTTGGATTGATACCTACAAATGCCATTCTTTGCCTCAAATGTATTTATTTATATGTGGCCTGCAATGGCTCTACTGAGTGCGTGAGTTCATTGCCTACAGGTACATCTAAGATGGCTTCACAGGAGAATATGATTTCTGGAACTTTGCTACAAACCATCAAGCTATTGACTAATCTCAATTTTCTTCAGTGTCTCTTATACAACTTTATCCACAGTTGATTCTGGCATCCTGAAATATCCTGTCCCTTCCTTACTAAAATTGTGACAGAATTGTTGCTAAATGCACAAGCAGAATTTGAGAAGCAAAGCTTTAAAGCACATTATTGAAGAAGGATTTAGGGATGCTGAATAAAAAGCACCATCTGTTGTTAGTACTTAACACTAATAAAGCACTTTTACATTTTACAAAATGCTATATAATCATTTTTATATCAACTATCCTCACAAAAAGCCCATAAACTTAGAACTACTCAAATTTCAGAGAGGAAAGGGACTGAGGAATAAAGAAATTAAGATTTTTCTTCAGGGCACCATTACTTTTGAGAGTCATAGTAAATGCGTGTGTGTGTGTGTGTGTGTGTGTGTGTGTGTGTGTGTGTGTGTGTG